AGCTACCTCAAAAATCATCCTTGCTGCCACTATAATTATGGTGCTTGCTCCCAACATGACTACTTCCACCAATATCATTGAACATCTCTTGCCTAACTGATCATTTCCACCTTTTAGAAATATAAACCAAAAGATATTACACTGGTGTGAGTGAATGTGAAAGATGCCATCCAAGAGGACACAGGCTGCTTTTTCCTGAGATGACTGACAGTGAGATTAACTGGAGGCTCACTGTGCTTCCGACAAGCGACAAGGCTGAGAAAGCAGTGATTGCAGTCAGTATGAGAATCGAACCTGTGTTGTTTTCATCACTACTCAAAGCAAACTAGCCAGCCAGCCAAGTGAGCTAACCAACACCCATGTTAAATAATAATATCTTAAAGTATTTTTTTCTAATTTGTAAGTATCACCTTGAATACCAGGGCGAATCCTCACTCACCACCCCAATCCCAGCTCTACCACTCCATTTCCTGTTGCCTTTTCCTTCCTGCTACACTGTATCATTGAATAGAATCACAGAATCTCTACAGTGTGGAAGCAGTCCATTCAGCCCAGTGAGTCCACACCAACCCTCCAAACAGCATTCCACTCAGATCCAACCCCCAACCCTACTCCTGTAACCCTGCATTTCCCATGGTTAATCCATCTAACCTACATATCCCCGACCTGGGTATAATGCAAATTGACAGTGACTGTACTTAGAGTCATACAGCATGGAAAGTCTGGTCCAATCAGTCCACACTGACCATGTTCCCAAACTAAACTAGTCCCACATGCCTGCACTTGACCATATCCCTTCAAACCTTGCCTATTCATGCACTTATCCAAATATCTTCTAAACGTTGTCACTGAGCCTGCACCCACCACTTTCTCTGGCAGTTCATTCCATACACAAGCCACTCTGTAAAAAAAAATTTGCCGCCCCCATGTCTTTTTTAAAATCTTTTTCCTCTCACCTTAAAAATACATCCCCAAGTTCTGGGCAATTTAGCATGGCCAATCCACTTAATCTGCACATCTGGGAGGAAACCCACACAGACACAGGGAGAATGTGGAAACTCCACACAGACAGTCACCCAAGGCTGGAAACGAACCCAGGTCCCTAGCGTGTGAGGCAGCAATGCTAACAACTTAGCTACCATTCCACCCCACAAAAAGATGCACTTCTCACACAGGACTTATACAATTAATGGTAGGGCCTTGCATTGTGCTTGAGAACAGATTGACCAAGGGGTTCAGGTACATAATTCTTTGAAATTTGAGTCACAGGTAGACAGGGTGGTTAAGGCATTTAGTTAGCTTGCCTTCATTGCTCAGAGCTTTTGAGTATAGGAGTTGGGACGTCATATTGAGGATTTACAAAAAATTGGTGAGGCATCTTTTGGAGTATTGTGTGCAGTTCTGGTCACCCTGCAATCGGAAGGATATTATTAAATTGGAGAGGGTTCAGAAAAGATTTACCAGGATGTTGCCAGGAATGGGGAGTTTGAGTAATAAATATAGGCTGGAAAGACTGGGACTTTTTCCACTGGAGCATAGGAGGTTGAGGGCTGACCTTAATGAAGTTTATAAAATCATGAGGCATAGATAAGGTGAATGTCAAGGGGCTTTTCCGAGGGTGGGTGAATTCAAAACTGGTGTTATATATTTTTAAGGTCAAAGGAAAGAGATTTATAAAAGACATGAAAGGCAACTGGCTTGTGTGTGGAATGAACTTCCAGGGAAAGTGGTGGATGCAGGTTCGGTGACAATGTTTAAAAGACATTTGGATATGTGCATGAATAGGAAAGATTTGGAGGTTATGGCCAAACACAAGCAGATGGGACTAGTTTAGTTTGGGAACAAGGTCGGTGTGGACGGATTGGACCAAAGGGTCGGTTTCTGTGCTGTATGACTCAAAAACTCTAAGTGAAGTCACTGCCAATTGGCACCATTTCCAGGTCAGAGATTCTATGGAGATTGTAAAGTCCTGCTTTATGGAGAAGGCTGCTTCAAATGTAGCAACATATGATCACTCCTGATTTGACATGCTATAACCTGTATGCCATATATTTAGTTAATGTGCATTATTTGGCTAACATCACAGGAAATCTAATTATTTTCCAGACTCTGCACCCATTTAAAGTAGGCACCATTTAATCTTGATCAATACATGAGGAAGAACATAATAACACAGAAGGATGTTTTGAAACTGTAATGGGTTCAGAAAAAGATTTACAAGAATGTTGCCAGGGTTGGAGGGTTTGAGCCATAGGGACAGGCTGAACAGGTTGGGGTAATTTCCCCTGGAGCGTTGGAGACTGAGGGATGACCTTATAAAGGTTTATAAAACCATGAGAGATGTTGATAGGGTGAATTGACAAGGGCTTTTCTCTGCGGTGAGGGAGTCCAAAGCTAGAGGGCAGAGGTTTAAGGTGAGAGGGGAAAGATTTAAAAGGGACTTTAAGGGCAACTTTTTCACGCAGAGGGTGATGTGTGTATGGAATGAGCTGCCAGAGGAAGTGGTGGAGGCTGGTACCTTTTTAAATGTTGTAATTGTACCTGGATGGGTACATGAATAGGAAAGGTTTAAGAAGAATATGGGCCAAATACTGGCAAATGGGACTAGATTAATTTAGGATATCTGGTCAGCACGGATGAGTTGGACTGAAGGGTCTGTTTCCAAGCTGTATTTCTCTATGACTCTATGACACACAAAATTACATTCCAAAGCTCCAAATAACCATAATCAATACAGTGTCGAGCTGGAGGAACACAGAAGGTCAGGCAACATCAGAGGAGCAGGAAAGTCACGTTTCGGGTTTACACCCTTCCTCAGGACTCCAGCATCTACAGTTCTTGCTATCTCCAAATAGTGTACCATATGTTTGGTTTTACAGGTACACGATCCCAAGAAAAGAAATAGGGCGCTGTTATAAAGGTTTATATTATTCGTGTTTAGAAACGTAAGGCAGTCTGTCGCTCATGAAATAATCTGTGAAGCTCTGGATTTAATGACAGCAACGAAGTATAAAACTTTTGAACATCCCTCATTGTCTCTTGTATGCTCTAGAGTGATGACTTTCAATTAAAGAGTCACCCTTTCTCTACCAATAACACTTACTAAACGGAGTTTTTACCTTTAGACCTTTGCATCCATTTAAATCCTTCTGATATGTACCAGACTCCAAATGGTGAAAACGACACAAATCGGAAGTTTCGACTGATCAAATCGGATCTACTACCGCCCCTTAGGCTTCGAAATGTTGTAGTTTTTCTGTCGCTTTCTTCTGAATGAAGGCGGCGCATTAAAACGACAATACCCATAATCCCTAGCGCTTCAGGGGCGGGGGCGTGGAGACGAGGTGGACATGCGCAGAGCAAGTCATCTGCTATTTTTAATTGTTAAAGGTTACAACTGATAAATTCACCCCAGAAGTTGTCTATTTATAGATTTTTAAATGACACTTTTCAGATTCACCTTGTACGTGACATAATATCGTAAAATGCACGTGCCCTGAAAACTACATTTGAAAAAATACAACTTCAATGTAGGTCTGACATGGATATGTTTCTACATGTGGGAGAGACCATAATTACAGCTATAATCCCAACAGGGAAATGAAGAAAAATCCCGTCCCTGACGGCGGTTAGCACATGGAAATACTGACCAAAAAGTTGTTTGAGGCAAATGCTATAAACACATTTCAACAAAGGGTTGGTAAGTATTTGAGAAAAAAATGAATAGAAAGTTGTGCTTTTAATGTGCATTGAGAGGGTCAATTAGAGCATGTACCTCTCTTGGGCTGAATGGCTTGATTGTGTACTCTACATTTTATGCAATAATAAACTAAACAAAATAAATGGTTTATGTCTATTGAATATTTCTGCCTCAAGCTACATAGAATATCCTTGTTACAAATTGAAATACATCACACAGATGGAGAATTTAAAAAGAAACTTCAAAATGCCATTGCATCCACTCTGGAAAAGGATGGATTGCATTTTAAAAGAGACTATCTTTAGAAGAACAATCAGCTGTAACACCACCCGAACATCAAGACTGCCAAAGGAACCTTGGAACACGTTCATGGATTCCTTACAACTTCACCTTTACCATCCTTTAACTTGTTTTGGATGTTACTGCATGTAAGCATGTGTGTTTTGCAGGATTCAGAATGAGTTTTACTTTTTCAATTAGTTTTATTATAAATTCAAGTATAAGCCTTATTTTGTTGATTCAAGAAATCCATCTGGCTTAATTTTTCATATAGTTTTTACATACAGTCAAACATATGCTGAATAGAAAAAATCTTTTTATAAATTCAAACTAATGAAACCAACCTCAGAGGTGAGAAGTAAGGAATTTATTCACCTCTCCGGATTCAGTTTAACAGTGTACTCAGAACATTCTAAAGTGCTTCATAACCAATTGTTGTCTTTTGAAGATTAGAATTATTGGAAAGGCAAATACAATGACAACTCGTATACACTAAGATCCGATAGCAACAAACGAATGAATGGAGATAATCATTTGTGGTGGTGTTGTCCAAGTCTAGAATGTTTGTCAGGGCAAAAGAAGAACCTTTGCTTTCCTTTGAATAGTGCCCACCAGGGATCTTTGATACCACCTGAGGAGACAAGTTTGGTTTAAAATGTCATCTGAGAAGGAAATGGTATTGATCTATACAGGTTTTCAATAATAAAGGAAAGAAATAAAAGGGGTAATGTGGTTATGATATTAGACTCATAATCCAGAAAAAAACTCAAAATCCCACCCACAATGACGATTAGATAATTTAAATTTATTTTTAAAATTTTAGAAATAAAAAGCTGGCAGGAGTGAAAAGAATTATATAATCGGGCTTAGAGACAACAAGGTGCAGAGCTGGATGAACACAGCAGGCCAAGCAGCATCATAGGAGCAGAAAGGCTGACGTTTCGGGCCTAGACCCTTCATCAGAAAATGATGATATAATCGGGCTTATCTATTTAAAGAACAGAAGTCCTTCATGTCGTCCTAGCTGAACATTTATTCCTCGATTAAACAATTTTCGGTCACAAGTTTTTTTTTGAAATATAATCCCTTGTAAACAGATTAATTGATCAGTATTGCTGAAACATTAACTTCCAAACCATCAACTTGTTTGTTCCTTTCATAGATGCTCCACATTTTTCTTTGTTTTCCATTTGGAACACTCATCTTTTATCTCTTGGCTGTTTGCGGTATCTTGCTCTGTTATTGCCTTGAAAACACGGCAGTGCACTTCCAGAAAGTACTCAGTGATTAGTGTTTAGGGGTGTCCCGAGAACAGGAAAGATGCCGTTTAAACGAACTTTATTTAATGAAATACGAGAGATGGGGATTTAAAACAGAAAGTGGGCAGAAATTTAAGAAAAATAAAAGTAGATGACATCTAAAATTTGGAAAGTAATGAAAATGAGCCATGGAGGGTAAAAGTGCAAGATTTTGGAACTGTAAGAGAGTGGGATTTATGATGATGTTCTCCATGTTCCCGGTTGCAAACTGAACTATTTCTCCAGCGTGAGCCCAGCCACAGGTCAGAGGTTGTTCACTGCCTTTTCCTTCCGGAGTTATTGTTCTCGGCGATGGCGGCGGGAGCTGAACGATTTTGATCGCTCGCCATGGACGAGGCGAGTCTGGAGGCGGCCATCGAAGTGTACAAGGCCCAGCTGCAGCAGGTGGAGGCGGCGCTGGGAGCCGGGGCCCAAGCTGAGGCTGAAGCCGAGGCCGAGGCCCAGGCCCAGGCCGATCTGCTGCAGCTCCAGGCCGACCTACAGCAGCTGGTCGCCCTGACCGAGTCCAGCCTCTTGTCGGTCCGCAAGAGCCTGCTCCTGGAGCAGCTGCAGCGAGGCGCCTCGTCGCCGGAGCCCGAGGACCAGTCAGGGCTCGACGTCGAATACGCCGCTTTCCAGGCGGCTCTGAGCGAGGCCGAGCGGAGCCGGGAGCAGGAGCCGGGGAGCGGCGATGAGGCTGAGACTAAGGCTGGGGATATCAGCGGCACCAAGGTGCGGGCTCCGTACCGCCCGGCCTGGGGCCCGCTGCAGTATCACAACGCCATGGTGGTGGGTGTGGAGGCTGACCAGCCATCCGAACCCACAGTCCGTGTCCTGTGGATCCACCCGACCCAGAGAGCCATGAAACCCTGCCCCTTCTACCTGAGTGGGAGCTGCCGCTTCCTGGACTCCTGCAGGTAATTCAGGAAGGGAAGGCTGAACTGAGAGAGAGAATAAACAAAGAGTAACATCATCCAGGGAGTTCAAAATTAGGCTCCACGTAATCGTATATTCAACAAAGCATTCAGGAGCAAATTACCAAGAAGTGATTTTACTGTAACATAAACAGAAATTGCTGGAGAAACTCGGCATATCTAGCAGCATCTATGGAGGGAAAACAGAATTATCGTTTCGAATCCAGTGACCTCTGCTTTCTCTACAGATGCTGCTAGACCTGCTGAGTTTCTCCAGCAATTTCTGTTTTCATTTCAGATCTTGACATCTGCAGGTTTTATTTTAGAGTTTGTGTGATGTTTAACTCTTATGAGGAGTAATTGAGATACGTAGAGTTAAAGAGATGTTACTTAAATAGAGGCTAGTGCAGTGAATATTGAAGGTATGTTGATGTGATGCCATTAAGAAGGATGAGATGATGCTCATGTGGAGGCTACAGGCTAGTTGGCTAAAGAGTCTGTTATTGTGCTGAAAATTCTATGTAATGAACAGTTAGGTCAATCTGAAACCTCAAAGGCTGCTGAACTGTGCACACTAAGAAATGCGCAGTTTACAGTAGTATATCTATTTAAATATGGAATTGTCTCAGTTTTCTTTTGAGTGGCCATAAATCCAAAAATGAATTATAGGAAAATCATTCTCATTCTCAGCAGGTTGGTAAGCTGTGAGTAGTAGGGTGCTGCAAGGAACAGTGCTTGGATCCCAGCTATTCACAGTCTATATCTATGATTTGGATGTAAGGACCGAATTTAATATTTCCAAGTTTATTCATGAAACTGGACTAGTTGGGAATGTGAGTTGTGATGAGGATACATAGAGGCTTCAAGAGTATTTAGACAGGCTGAAAGTGCATGGTACATGGAATATCATGTGGAAAAATAGAAGCGCAAAATATTTCTTATGTGGTGAGAATGAGAAGTGTTGATATTCAAAAAGATCTGGGTAACCTTGTTTGAATGTCACTGAAGGTTAATGTATAGGGTCAGTTGGCAATTGGGAGTGCTGATGGTATGTTGTTTCAACAGGATTTTACAGGAGTAAAGGTGTCATACTGCAGTTGCATAGAGCCTTGGTGAGACCGCACCTTGAATATTGTGTACAGTTTTATTTCCTTTTCTAAGGGATGATATACTTGCCATTGAGGTATTACAGCAAATATTCACCAGACTGATTCCTTAGTTGGCAGGATTGTCTTAGGAGGAGAGATTGAGGGGACTAGACCTATATTTTAGTTGATCACATTGAAGTATACAAAATATTTACAAGACATGACAGGTTGATGCAGGAAGGATGTTCCCTTGCCTGGGACGTGTAGAACTAGGGGACAGTCTCAAAATAAGAGGTCGTCCATTTGGGACTAAGATGATGTTTTTCATTCAGGTTGGTGAATTCTTTTTCCTTAGAGACCTGTGGAGGGTTAGTCATTGATCATATTCAAGGCAAAGAATGATAGATTTCTAGATATAAAATATGTCAAGGGGTACTCGGATAGTGTGGGAAAATGGCGTTGAGGCAGAAGGTCAGCAATGATCTAATTGTATAGTGGAACAGGCTTCAAGAGTCAAATTAATGCTGAAAATATATAGTGGCAGCAGGTGAATGCATCTTCCCTAATCACAAGAAAACACAGTAATGGGGTGACCGATCAGTGAAAAGTTGTTCCCGTAAATAGATCGGAAGGAAATGGTGAGGAGCTTCTCTAATCACAGGCTGGCTGTTTTGTGCATGCAACTGATAGGCACACTCCTGTTAGTAAGTACAGCCGTGAGAAAGCTGCAAAGGGGTGGGAGACACAATAGGGCAGCGGGATCTACACAGGTGCTATGGGAAGATGAGGATTGCGAGTGGATTAGAGGTAGAAGGGGGTGGAGCTGTGCAAGGGGACTGAGTAGGTGGGAAGCTGGTGCTAGGGGTTTAGGTAGGAAAGGGATGTTCTGTGGAGAGTAGGAGAGGCCAGAGGCATCTGAAGGAGCAGCAGGTAGGTGGGAGTGGCAGGGAGGAAGCAAGTGTTGTGAAGAGAGCAGGTCAGTAACAAGGAAAATCACAAAATAATAAAATACTTGTAAATGAGTATGAAATTCCCTTGCTTAATGCTGCATATGTTCAGGAAATATGTGAAAATTGCAGCAGATATTGTGGTGATGAGTGCTGTTAGTTGTTAAACTAAAACCTGAGATGAAGTAAGTAGGGTTAGTCACTGCCTGGTTGAAATATTCCAGCTTTGAATATGCGATAAATACACATTAGCTGTAACTTCACTATTCTGGAGGATCCGTTTAAATTGAAGGCTTTTTCTGTGTAGAAATGTGTCGGTTATTTTGATTGAAAAAAAAGTTGCTAACTTTTGCCATTGTGCAGTTTAAATACTGTGTCTATAAAATTTACGCTTTTCCTTGTCTGTTGTAGCTTTAATGGAAAGTTGATAATATTGAAAATATTAATGTATTCCTCTAATTCTGTTCACTCACTCAGTGAGTTGAGGTGTCAGTCACTGGGTTGGGGGGCGTATGGGCATAGAGGGTATGGATTTTCAGCACAGCCTTTGAAGAGTCACCACATATATGGATAAAGGGGAACTCTTTGATGTACTGTCCTTGGATTTCCAGAATGCATTTGACAAAGTGTCACATAAAAGGTTGTTGTGCAAAATAGAAGCTCATGGTGTAGGGAGTGATATACGTGCAAAGATAGAAGACTGGCTGGCTGGCAGAAAACGGTGTGTACGTGTAAATGGATTTTTTTTAACAGATTGGCAAGATGTGACAGTGGGGTCTGCAGTTTATTTTAATGATGAGTGGCAGATGGAGTTTAATTTGGATAAATGCAAGTATTGCATTTTGGTAAAACAAACCAGGGCAGTACTTCTAAAATTAAAAGTAGGGCCTTGGGTAGTGTTGTCGAACTGAGAGATCTAGGGGTTCAGGTACATAATTCTTTGAACTTTGTGTCTCATGGAGACAGGGTGGTTAAGAAGGCATTTAGCATGCTTGCCTCCATTGCTCAAATCTTTGAGTATAGGAGTTAGGACATCATGTTGAGGCTGCATAAGACGTTGGTGAGGTCTCTTCTGGAGTACTGTGTTCAGTTCTGTTTGCCCTGTTATAGGAAGGATATTATGAAACCGGAGAGGGTTCAGAAAAGATTTACCAGGATGTTGCCTGGAGTGTTTGAGTTCTAAAAGTAGGCTGGATCATTTTTTGATTGCAGTGTAGGAGGTTGAAGTTTATAAAGTCCTGAGAGGTATAGTTCAGGTGAATGGTAGGTGTCTTTTCCCTAGGGTGAAGGATTTCAAAACTAGAGGGCATATTTTTAAGGTGAAAGGAGAAGCATTAAAAAGAGAAGAGGAGCAACTTTTTTCTACACGATGGTTGGTGTGGAATGAACTTCCCAAGGAAGTGGTAGATGTAGGCGTAGTTATAATGTTTAAAAGACATTTAGATAAGTACATGAATAAGAAATGTTTGGACGGATATGGCCAAACGCAAGCAGGTGGGCGACTTTAGTTTGAGATTATGGTCGGTATGGACTGGCTGGATAGAAGGGTCTGCTGTATGACTCTAAATGCTCCATAATTCAACACAAACACAGAAAGTAATGATACTATATGACTGCATGTTCTAATAAAGGAGGTAGTAAAAATCTGAAAATAGCCCTCAGAAATCAAAGAGTAATACTCCGGAATAACACTTGAGATGGGGGAAATTGTACGCTAGGCCAAATGGCCTGCTTCTGATCCTGTGATGCATATATACGAACAATGCATAAGCATACAAGTCAGTAGCGAGAAAAGATCATTTGCAACACAATCTTCTTGATTTCCTATCAAGATGAAAGACCAATCTGAAGCTATACTTTTGAGCTACCAGTAATACACTTTCTATCTCTAGTCTCAACTACTACTTGCTACCTTTTCCTAAAGCTTCCGTTACTCACCTTTGTCCTAGTCTTTTATTACTCCAGCTTCCACCTGTCACCCGACCATAATCAACTAACTTCTGCTGTACTTGCTTTTTCTTTCGTATCTCCATCCAGCTATTTTGACTCAGTGCTAACTAACCTGTAACAAGTTCCTTTACAAAGGCAACATTTTCCTTACCTTCAAAGCTGTCGTCATCAGCCGTTTCCTTAAAGAATGTTACAAAGCTCATTGCCCACTAAAACTGACTATCGCCTCTCTTTTCTCTAAGTAATTCGAATATATTATTGTCATCAAAATACTTTGTTCATCTTTTCCATGTTTAAGTGCTGTCAAGTTGCCTTCCCCTTAAAGTGCATTACTGAGACTGTCCTGGATATCCTTTGCAATTGCAGCTTTGACTTGGTATTGCTCCTTAACTTCTTCCTGGTATTTGACATGATCAACTATTCCAAACACTGCTTCACTGAGCTCCATTTTTATTCAAGCGCCCATGCATGGTTCCACTGTACTCCAGTGCAGCCTGGACACCTGTAGTATTGGCTTTTTCTTTTATCTCCAGAATGCCCCACAGTTCTTTTTTTAGGTCCTTTATTTAATGTGTATACTTAGTAACATTTAGATCCTTTCAAATTGATGGCACCGTATGATGGCCTGTCCACTGTCACACTAGATTTCATGATCATCTCATTACCAGGCTACCTTAATCAGTATAGATAAGTTAGAGTATTGGGGTACAGAACTTATTTTCTCTGGCTCTGGTAAAACTCTGTATCTTGTCCCCGCCGGAGTCCTGTCACTAGCTGTCTAGTGTGCAGGCTGAGTATATCTAAAATCTTAGTGTCCTACTGTTCGTCTAGCTATTATCTCTAACTTTCACCTCTGCACTATTACTGTTGCCTCAGTCTCACTGTCATTGAAACCCTTGTCTGGGCTTTGTCTCTACATTTCCCTTGTTTAAAGTCTTTCTTGTTGACTTTCTAGTTTCTTTAGACAAACTCAATCACCCAAAACTCTGGAGTCACATTTTCCTTTAATTGAATGTTC